CCAACAATAAAACTAGAGAGAGAGAGAGAGAGAAATGGAGAAATTTGGTACCAAGTTGCTTAAAACAACTTGGTAGTGATGTGTCCTAATCTTGCCCCTACATCACACCTCGAAGATAGAGCCTCAACCACCCTTCACCAACTCTAATGTAGATGTAGAGACAAGATTAGGCCACATCACTATCAAGTTGCTTGGAGCAACTTGGTACCAAGTTTCTCCATTTTTCTCTCTCTATATATATATCCAATAAAACAAGGCGAATTTATGCTAAGTATAATAATATAATCAGATTTTCGACAATTTCATCCTAAGATAACATATGATTATTGACTTAGAATTTCGGATCTATGTCCACGCTACCAATTATAATTTTTTTGTTTAAATTGCAATTCCTCATCTATATCTTCAGCAGCATTTATCACTCTTCAATTATTGTAGCAGCCCTTAGCACTATTTACAGGGTTGATGAGGTAATCTACACTTTTATACTTCTCAAAATGTGAACGCAGGGTGTTAAATGCCCCTGTGGATAAAGGGGACCTGAGCACAACTGAACTTACAAAGGAGGGGGGTATCTGCAATTCTATACGTATCGGATCGTTATCGGGTACATGACGCCCTGTTACCAACAAGGGCAAACTAGTAAATTACTGACACCCGTCAGCCATATTACCTCTTCCGGGCCGAATCTAGGGTTTCTGTCGTCCGCAGTCATCGGTTCCCTAGGGTTTCTCTTTGTGCTCTGCTGCGATGGCTCCAACCAAGAAAACGGTATGATTCTCTCTCCCTTCCAATCGCTCGATCTGATCTCAGTTTCTAGGGTTTTATCTTGATCTGAATCTACGGCAACTGATTTCTGATTGAAATGAAATTGGGAATGGAATTTTGCAGAAGAAGACGACGGAGAGCATAAACAACAGGCTAGCCCTCGTGATGAAGAGCGGAAAGTATACCCTAGGATTTAAGACCGTTCTTAGATCTCTCCGGAGCTCCAAAGGTAGTCTCTTTTCCCCTACATGGTGTAGATTTAGCATCGCATTTTGATTTTTTATGTTCGGGTTCTCTTTTGTATAACTAATGTGAAGCAGAAATATGTGATTTTGCAAATGGAAAGAAGTTAATTTTATTGAAGTATGCCCCAGTTGTTTTCTGTTTGTTTGATTCTCATGGTTCCTCCAATTTTTATGTAATTGAAAGACAACCGCTTACTGGTTTTAGTGCACAGTGCATGATGACCATCCTTTCATATTAAGATTTTACTTGGCTCTGACAATTTACAAGTGTTCTCCCCTTACGACAAGTCCATGAACTCATTTTTGTTAAGTATTTTATTGTCTGTCCGCGCTTGGCGGAGCCCTTATTACTTTAGGTTCTGTTACGAAAAACTTGGGTTTAAGTTTGTGAAGATAGATTTTGGCAAGCATTAGCTGTAACATAAGTTATTTGAGTGGAAGGTGTCTCTATGAAGACGTTATAATTTATGGGAAAAGTTATATGAGGTGGATTGAAGGCATCATATTCTTCATCAACAAAAGCTGCACATCTTACAGGCTTCAAGCCACGCCCTTCAAATCAAAATTTTGCTGTCTTAAATTAATCATGTTATTGCTACTCATAAGATTTGTCCTTTAACATTCTCATTCAAAATAGTTGTTTGGTTTGCGATCCATATTTGAGGTGTCTCTTTGACTATAAATTTCTCATCGTAAAACCTTGATTTCCTTGTCAATCATGCCTAACGTGCTCGACTCTTATGGCTTTATGCTTCTCAACCTAGCTGAAGGCGAGAGGGTGAACTACATAATCATTCTAGTTCAAGAAACTAGGTCTCTCCAGATTTATGATCTGCGGCCTAGGGATTTCCGGTCAGTTAATGTTTGCCTTCAGATCACTTTCTTATTAGATTGTCTCTCCTTTAGTTATCGTTCGGGACTGGAGTTTGCCTCTTTGGCTATTTATTTATGCCCTAGAGACGAATGCAGTGCCCTGTATCAATTTCCTCGCTCATTTTTTTCAGGCTTTTATATCTTCCTAAATCTGGGAAATTTAGAGGGTGGAACATTATGATACTAAAGGATATAGATGATTTATGAAGCTGTATTTGGTGTTATTATCTTAAACCCTTAATGCATGCTTATCCTGTATTCCAATGTGTTCTATGGACTTGTGTACAAATATTTAATTAACTACTTTATATCTAATTATACTAACTGAATCTGTTTGTAGCTAATTATATGGAAAACTATTTGTTAAAGTGCAGTTCGTTTACTTGGTTTTATTTAGTTGATGTAGATATAAAAGGAAGCTCGTGAATGAAGATATGATGTGTCCAGACTTGAAAATATTGTGTTGATCTGTTGATTTAATGGATAAATACATTCTCTCTTATGCACTTTTTTATTTTTATCATTTGGAAATATAAACAGAATATCCTTCCTCGCAAAAATGATCAGCATTGTCATGTCTGGAGTGAAGCATTTTTTTTTCTTCGTATTCTCACTGGGAATTTGTTATCTAGTATCATGTTATAAACATGTAGGCTCATATACTTTTAAGTTTTTTTTGTATACTTATAATTTGTAGGTGCTAGATTTAATATGACATTCTAGATTGTTCCGAATTTATGTTGTTGCTGTACTAGAGTTGCATTGTTCAGTTATTTGAAAAGCTGCCATGGGGATTTAGCACTTCACACCCTTTATTGCGTTGCTTTAGGCGAGGTGTGATTAATATTATTAGCATTTTGGCTACTCCTTGTTTAAGATGAATTCCATTGGCAATGATGTTAGTACTACTATGCACCAAAAGGGGTTGGACATACGAACAAGGAAGAAAATGAAGTAGCCTTGTTGTAACCTTGTTGACAATCCTGTCAGGTTTCCCTCTTTAAATTGTTATGATCGAAATGTGAAATTAATTAGCTGCATTACAGTCCATAGTGAAGACCATTACTTGGATTTTGTATTACTTGGGTTCCTACCAACTATATATTGCTGACTCATTTTTCCTTCTTTGACATTGTTTCTTTTAGTGCCATAAAGCGCTATTCCCTTTTATTGACATGTTTTTTCACTGTAAAATGCATCTTTCACAATGTTTTTTTGGTTGCATCTGTAAATTTATATCACGATTTCTCATCAGCACTGTTTGTCTTTATTGACATAATTAGCTGTTGATGACACTGGATGCAGATTCTTTACATGACAATTTATTTTACTTCTCTTTTGGATAGTTTTTACTATATTAGTTATGGTTTGTGGCTGGGTAATAATTGTCTTAACATATTTTCCATTTATCTCAAAGACAACACATATTTTCCATTTTCTCTTTGTCAGTAGTTGTGATTATTTGTGTTTGATGTGAAGAGAGGGGAGATAAGTTTTGCACTAGCTTCGGGAAGAAGAGCAATGTTATTGAGGGTTATCTAGAGAAAAGGTAGAACATAAATGTGTTTTAATAACAAGTAGTGTTGTAATTAAAACTGGGTTTTTTCACGTAAGCCACCTTTAAAATAGGGTGATTGTATGAAAAGAACTTTCAAAGTTCATTTTATACGGAAGCTACTTTAAAGAAGATTCCGATTGCAACCAACCACCTTGACTCATTTTCTGATAAAACTATGAATAAAACTTCCAAATACCCTTAAACACACGTGCCTGGTGCGTGACATGCATTCTTAACAGAACGTAGTGCTTGACATTTCTGTTTTTAAGGATATTTGGGAATTTTAGTCAACTTTTCATTAGACAATAGATTCAAGGTGGTTTATTGCAATCGAAAACCCCCTTTAAAGGTGGTTTTCATGTAAATTGAACTTTGAAGGTGGTTTTCATACTATCGTTCTATTTTAGAGGTGGTTTCTATGAACAAAATCCATTAAACAAATACTGCTAGGGGGTTTCTTAGTAAGATGATAAACTAGAAAGGGGTTTCATAATAATTACCCTCTATGTCCAAAGAATCATGCTCATTTTCACATGCTTTTAGTAGGACAATGAGGGTTACAGAAAGTGCTAGGTGATGTAGGCGTTGGACCCCATGTCTAGAGCCTAGGTAGGGCCCAAACAATTTTTTTATTTTTTTATTTTTTAGTTGCATTAATTGATAGTAAATGCCAATGTTATAGGAAGCTTAGGCTCTGGACAGATGCCTAGGTGGATTTCTTTTTTTGTTTAAGTAGTGGCGAAGGAGGTTTTGCTGAAGGTTGGGAAGGTGTTCATAGTAGAGGGCTAAAGGAGTTTGGAGGACGTGGAGGAGGCCTAGCTAGTGCAGTCAACATATGCAGATCACACTCCCCTAGGTGCTCACAAAACTTAGGTGGGCAGCCTAGGTACCACCTAGGCCAATGCATATGCCTAGACGGGCTAGGCGGAGGCTTTTTAAAACATTGAGGATAGTTGCCAGCATTTTTTTAAATTTCAGTTATTAAGCTGGAGTTTTAAGCATGCAAAGTTCTTATAGTGATTTTTTCCCTCTATAGTGTGCATATTGGTTACTTGGATATGTTTACTTTTCACTTTCCATTTTTAGTACTTTCTGCCGTTCTTCTCTACTTTACTTTTTTCATTGGTTTCCATGAAATGGATCTCATCGTTCTGTAATATTCCTTTCTGTAGCAAAGCTGATAATCATTGCAAACAACTGCCCTCCTCTGCGCAAATCCTTGATCGAGTACTATGCTATGTTGGCCAAGGTCGGAGTTCATCATTTTAATGGAAGTAAGTTATTCATTTTCTTTTCCCAGAGCATGTCATCCAGTATCATATCCTATGGTGACACAGAAGTAATCATTGATTATGATTTCCAAATGTTTAATGTTTGACTTGCATCAAATCATGTTATTCATCTGTAGTAGTAATGCGTTCTGAATTTACGACCTTTTTTGTTGCAACTCTTTTTTTTCTTTGCTGGAGCATTGTGTGCATTTAATTTGGGCTTAGTTCTCAGGTTGTTGGTCATGAAAAATGTTGTGTTAAACAACTTAATAGTTACTAAACTTCACTCATTCACAATATTTTAGATTAATCATTGTAGGACGTAAGGAGCATAAAATAATAGAACTGAAACAAGGTATCTCTAACCCAATTAGACCTTGCATAGTCTTATTCAACTTCAATAATTGGATTGGATGTTAGTTATGTTGTCCTGTTGGATATTAGTTTCCTAACTTTCACGAGGACATTATAGTTTCATATCAAAATTTTTGTTAGCATTATGAGAAGATAGTAAGGAAGCTTTACTTAACACCCTCAGTTGGTCTGGTATTGCTGAACATCTTGTAGTGTACTTTTACTTCAAATGAACTGTGAAATGATTTGTTGTTTTTCCCCCTCTAAATAAGCCTCTAAAATATAATTTTCATATTTATAATGCTTATGAATATAATTATGTATTGGGTTATTGTCAATGACATTTAATAATTATATCATCAATTTGCTGACTATGGTCTTCTTTCGATAAACTTGCATCCTAAAAAGTTGGATCATAAAAATTATCACAATATCACTTCATCCTTTTACTTCAAATGAAATGTGAAATTGTTTTTTTTTCTTTTTCTCAAAATAAGCCTCCTTAAGTATAATTTTCATATTTTAATGCTTGACTGTAAATTTGTAAAATATAGAACATTATTTTCTTTTTTCTATCTCATTCAGTTCAATTAGCTTTATTATTTTTGTAAGAAAGCATAACATTTTCTACATCTCTTATATCCTGAACATAGCGAATAGTTAATTATGTGGACACTAATATTATTGCCATGGTATGGTGTAGTTTAGAATCTTCTTGAAGAAAGAATATGTCTAGTGAAATTGCTACTTCATCCTCAGCTACCATAGAAAAGAGGTTCATTCAAATTTTGTTTTCCCCCATCATTCATCAAACCTTTGCAGCATTGTGGGTGCTTAGCTTATTCTTTTGTGTTCTCTGTGGACTAAGAATTCTTTTGTAGCTTATTCTTTTACATTGCATGGACAGATAATGTTGATCTTGGAACAGCCTGCGGAAAATATTACCGAGTTTGCTGCCTCAGCATCATCGATCCAGGTGGGTTTCTGCTTCCTCCGTATAATTTCTCTCAAATTGTGATTAACCCTGTATATTGCATATCTTAACGTTTATTTCCCTGTATCATATCTTGCAGGTGATTCCGATATAATTAAGAGTATCCCCGGTGACCAGTGAATGGATGCGGTTGTACTATTGATTTAGAAATTCAGATGAGCATCATATATGTGACTTGTTTTCTTGAGGAGGATTGCTTGGTTCTATGTTAATTTTCACCCAAGCTTTGGAAGAGAACATAATTAAGCTAGATTTTCAGTTCGTGTTCTGCGTGCCAATTTTATTTGTTTAGTCCTTGTTTGGGGTGCCATGTCGGAGTTTTCATATTATCTTCAGACTTTACCGGAGCCGACCGCAGCATGGTGAAGTTTGTTTTTTCAGCTAATTTAATTAAGCAGCCCAGTTTCAGGCTTATTTGGTTATTTATACGGTGCGTAAAATGTGTTGCTTGCTGTGGGTCTTATTCTGCATTGCGGCTAGAGTCTTCTGCCGATAAACTTCGCTGACGATTCCGTAGTTAGAAGCTATAGTAAGTTGGGAAAGAATGAAAGATATGAGAGTGATAAAACATAGAGAGTTTTTAAGTTACAAAGTGTAGAGAGTTGAGCTTGTCGTGATAGGTTCGGTTCAATTTTTTATTAGCACCTCTGATGCATATGTTATGTTTGAGAACTTGTTACGAGGTGGTTAGAATTAGAACATAACATCTAATGCCTGCATTGCCTTCAACGCCAAGCTAAGATGAGATTGTGATTATAGAACCATGGCAAGCAAGCAAGGAATCACTCAAAATGGAAACGTCGGATTTATTTTACACAATAACGGATAGGATTCGGGTTTTCTCCAATTGGGTGGTGGGTGGTAATTAGAGAGGATTCAATTTTTCCAATCTTGATTGTTCATTCTAATTTAGAGAGAGGTGATTAATCCACAATTTTTATTATTGCGAGAGTAATTTTTAAAATAATGGTTTTGTCGCTACTGTCATGAAAACCATCATTTTGAAAACCACTCTTGCAATAATGAAAATCTTACGTGATGTAACCTCTTCCCTCTAAATTGAAATAAACGATTAAGTTTGGGAGAATTGGCTCTTCTTGGAAGAATTGGCTCCTCTCCAATTACCGTATCTTTATAATAGAACACACCTCTTTATATCGGATTCCTCCAAAACCTTGTTAAAAGAAGCACATTTCGACATCAAGTGCCTCAATGGAAGTCTATAGGTTTTGTTGCATTTGTCAAATCTCTTCAAATGGAGGTTTCTTCGTTATCAAAAGCTGATTCCCACGTCAAATCAAACTACTCCATAAAAGCTCAACATTATATAATAAATATATTACAAGCGATCAGCTTCGGGGTTCCTTTGGAGCATTGGTAATAAATCTTGCAATTTTCTCCCGTAAAGTTAGCTCTCACAACCGCAATTTGAGGGAGAGGATGGTTTAAGAGGACTTCGTGATCTACTTGAAGTTAAAATAGATACCAAGGTTACTTAGGGAAAACAAAAATATATGCAGCAGATTTTATAATTAGTTAGACCTCCAGCTAAACCATACATATATAGAGAACTCTTCCTAAATCAAGCTCTCTATCCGCTGAATTTCGAGATCAAACTTCCTAGCGCTTAATTTTGATTAAAATTATGTATTCTTATTTCCTTCTAAAATTACATTTTACAATAAACATTCTGCTTTTTATCTTTTGAAATGCTGCTTTCTTTTATTTTTAAAATTCAGCTCTTATATGTATATTGCACTAGTTTTTATGCACGTGCAATGCACGTGGTTGAATACAATGATTCGGCATTTTTGGCTTATTTACCAGCTAAAATTTGTTTCCGTTCCACTTTAATAGTTGTTGCTCACTTTTGTCTCTAAAATTTAACATTGTAATTGTTTATTTTCTTCGATGTTTGTTTGAATGAGCCACACCCAATTTAAATTTTCATGTTAATAATTAAATTGATAGGAAATAAATATAACCTGAAGTCAATTTAAAACTTCATACCGACATGAAACCACGCTTTACTTGAGAAAGTACAATGTTATAAAAGTGAAAAGCATTGAAATAGTGTTATGTAAGGAATGTGAATATTTAAGATCAATAATGCAAAATGATTGATTAAATGTATGCTAAAGATACATAAGAGAATATGAAGTTTGTTTTTAATCATTGATAGACTTCATAAAAAATTATAAACTAAAGACTAATGCCGACTCTAGTATACTTTTATATGATAAACGCATCCACATAAGCATATAATAGTACTAAGAAAAATTCATGAAAATCACTTCTAAAGATTCATAATTTCACTCAAAATCATTAAACTATTCTATAAAATATTCAAAAAATATTATCTTTTATTTCTTATGTTTTATTTTTTATTGAGTTGAGATCAATCGTTCTTCACATTTATCTTTTTTCCTGGGCAATTCTAGAGTAACGTCTTCATCATCTATATTGATTATGACATCAAGCTAGAGTTAAACTTTTTTCCTGGGCTTGTTAATCTTTTATCTTCTCGTTGAACTTCACAAAGAAGTTGAATATATTTTTGATATTCAATATAAACTTCTTGAGATAGAGACTTTGATTTTTCTCTACAATGTTAATTATATATATATATATGAAATTCTTCATGTTCCTAATTTATTACTTAAATAAGATAAGGAGCTATATTTTTCTCTATAATGAACTCTTTTAATGTACATCCAATAATTCTGATGTCAGTGACCGAAAAGGGTTTTGGCAGCTTGCTCCTAACTGGGTTGAAACAAACGGGAAGTGCTTCGTCCTTGAAGGATTTTAGAGTCACAATGAGAGTTTCGTGAGGGAAGATTGACTTGATGAAGTCATTAAATCTCATCTCGACGAAAGAGTGCTCGAAAAGTCACAGTGGGAGAGTTTTAATCATCTTGGAAAAGATTAAATAGCCACAATGAGAGGTTCTTAATCATTTTTTATGATTAAGAATGAATTATTCGGATGACTGGTCTTCATCTTGAATAATCAGTTGATCTCGGGTTATCCTTAAGAATACCTTGCATAACATTCTCTAGGAACTTCTCGTTAAATAGGTTATCCCGAACGTACTAGGGATAGTATTTTTTCAGGAACTTCCCATTTATTGGCATCATGAGTTTATCACCGTCTTGGGTGATCAGGCGGTATGCGCCATTCGAGTAAATCGTCTCTACCACGAATGGTCCTTCCCATTTGGGCTGTAATTTGATTTTCTTCTTGGAATTGAGTATCATCTGTTCGCGGGGAAAATCGTGTTCTTCATTGATGTCATTGCACACTCTTGTAATAGTTTATCGATTACAAAGATCCGGTCTTTTTATAAGATCCGGTTACAACGAAATCAAAGAAAAAGAAAAAAGATTACAACTTTCCTTTCGAACGAATCGCGAGCTCCTGTTTTGCGGTCACTCGCTTTGTGGGTTCTTCGCCTGCGCCGGGGTTTATCCGTGGACCACCGCGCGATCTAGATCCGGTCGGATCTATGCAGTATGACGGGTATTATTTCGCCAAGGAAATAATAGCCGAGGGTACTATTTCGCCAAGGAAATAGTAGCCTTTAGTTCTCGGGATCAAAGGCCAAGCTTTGATCCGGAGGATGACTACGTAGATCTGAGATCCGGTTCCTCTCGAACTCTTGCCTTTTTTGGCGTTGACGATCGCCGAGCACCGGATCTGGAAGAGCAAGTCCTCAAAGTCACAAAGCTTCAATCTTTTTTAAGTTCTGAGCCTTGAATCCGGCAGAGCTTCGCCTCCAAATTTTCCAACCTCTCAAAAATGAGCACTCAAGGGCCTATTTATAGGCTCTCAGATCTGTGCCCGGGCACAGATCTGACCGGCCACCTATAGGTGGCTCGGCCACCGAGCCACCTAGAGGTGGCTCGGTTTTGGCCGAGTCCCCTAGGTGTTGTGCTTTTTGCCGTTTTTTCCGGTCTTGTGGTTGATTTGGACTCTGATTTGTTGATCTGAATCCTGATTTGGCAGTAAACCCGCTTCGTTGTTGATCCAGACTCTGATTTGACAGTCCGAATCCCAATATGGCAATAAATCCGCCTCGGTGTTTGAGTTCAAATCCGTTCTATGGTTGGATGACTCGTTGACTCACCGAACTGTTAGCTTGATTCCACATGCGAATGGATGTATTCTATTGTTTGCGTGCGGTTCGTTAGCCTCGTCGCCTCGTTAATCTGCTTCGTTGCGTGTCACATGGCTTTGGCGTTGTGGACTGACGCTCGTGTTTGGATATGTCGCCCGATGGTTCGTCGGTTTGTGCCGAGCTGTGCTAAGGGACCTATAAGCAATTTTATACGTCTACAGATACCCCCTCCAAAGTATTTCAGCCTCGTTCTTTTATAGAAGAGTCTGGAATACTTTGGATATGATTGTCCCAACCTTCAGTCGGTGTAACGGGACCTTGGAATGGCTTCTGTTCTTGATTCCTTCAATCCTTCAGGCTATTCGGTGCTTCGTCGAATGTCTGTAAGGGTTCCGGTGCTGCATTTATTGTCTGACCGTTGTCGGAATTTTGAACTTGAAGTCGATTCCTGATTTTCTGATTTTTAACTCGTGTTTGTTGTTTCAACACGGAACTGACCATCGATTGTTGGCGCTAAGTTCTTATTTGCGACACGTTGTTTTATTGGAGTAATTTCTGTGCCCGAATGAGCTGAACCGGTCTGATAATGAGCTGAACCGGCTTGATAATGAGCCAAAAAAAGGCAGTAATTCGGCTCAAAAAATCTTCTGATCCTCCCGAATGTGCGGGAGAGGTAAGAATAAACCAAGGACTGAACCCTCGGTCGATTTGAAGTTGTTTCGATGCTCGATTCGGCTTCAATTTGAATTCTGGTTCAAATCTGGTTCAAACTGGTTCAACCTGGTTCAAGGCTGGTTCAGGACTGGTTCAAGACTGGTTCAGACTGGTTCATCCTGGTCTGGTCTGGTTCAGTCTGGTTTGGCCTGGTTCAGTCTGGTTTGGCCTGGTTCAGCTTGGTTTGGCCTGGTTCAGCCTCTTTTGAACTGATTTGGACTGGTCTGGTCTGGTTCAACCTGGTCCGCATTATAAAAGGGATTCTTTTTCCTCCTCTTTTCCTCCTCTAGGGCCGGCCACACCTTTTCCTCTTTTTGGATTTTTCTTTTCTCTCTTGCATCCGTTCTCCCTCAAAACTTCATAGTTGCATTAGATCTAGCATTCCTTTGGATCTTAGACTGAAGAATCCCTCAAAAAACTTCATACAGAAATTCCTCTTAGGCCCCTCGAGCACGTGGTCTGAGCCTCTTTCAAGATTTGATTTTTGTTGGATCCTCGAGCTTTTCCTCAGGTAAATCCTCCACAATTTTAGCATATTTCATGCTTAATTCAATTTATGAATTTGTGGGGTCGTATGTGAGGGTTAGGGTT